AAACTTAGGCAAGATTTGTTATTTTCTTGGCTTAGAAGTGGAGAAAACATATTATGGATATTTTATATGGAGAAAGCAAATCATAGATATTTTATATCTCAATGAAGATATGCAAGGGATTTCTTGAAACGTTTTAGCATGACGGAGTCAAAAGAAATGGCTACTTCTATGGAGCCATATCTCAAGGTAACGAAAGAGGAAGGAAAGTTGTTGAAGGATGTTATAAGGTTTTGATAACTTATTAGTAGTTTAATTACTTAACTATCATAAGATTGAAAATTACTTACTCTGTTGGGGTCATCTCTCAATTCATGCAAAGTCCAAGAACTCCTCATTTAGATGTTATTAAAAGAATCTTATGTTATGTAAACAGTTATCTTACTTCGGTATTTGAAAGATCATGCATCTTATGGAGGTATAAAATAAAATAAAAATTTTCTCTATCTAAAAAGCCCAAGATCATGTCGTTTAATCAACTAACCATATATATTCATGAATTAAAATGATAAATAGAGAATTTACCTCTTATAACACGAGATATAAACCTTTGTAGAAAAGAGTTATCTAAGTTTTCGACCTCTATTGATAATTAAAATAGCTCAAGCACCCACACAAAAAACCCTCAAAATTAGTAGGGTGCTAGCTCTACCTTTTTTAAACTTGTTTAGTGTTTCCTATAGAAATCTAATCGGGGTAATTTTACGACAATCCAAAGAGAGAGAGAATAAAGGTGGCGTGCTTAAGATTAAAGAGAAAACAATTTTCTCTTAGCTTTTTTTTAGCTATGTGTCTCTATTATTTTTTTGTGTGTTGAATTTTTCTTCTCTCTTTTTCATTTTGCTTTTGCCACACCTCTCCTTCTATTTATAGAGGGAGAGTTTCCTTGTTCTCCAAGGACAAGAAGATAGGATGACAACTAGTTCTTATTGGACTCATAGTTGTTGTTTCCTAATCTTTCAAGGATTAAAAGTTATTTACCATGTGGGCTTTTGATATTTATCTATAAAAAATTCATCCTTATCTAATAAGGTTCATGTTTATCTTCCCATAAAAATATCTTTTAGGCTTTTAATTAAACCTATTGGCCCAAAGCCATTTTAGCATAATTAATTAATTTAAACTATCCAAATAAATTAAGTTATATAATTTTAAGAGACTCATATTTAGAAATAATTTTTCAAGTTACCCTTGAATCTAAATTAGGAAAATCATTTCCTTTTCAAGTTTTTTACTTTCAAATTTGAAACTAACTTCCAAATTAGAAAAATGATTTCTAGAATAGAAAACTTTGCATTTTAGGAAACCTTTTCTAACATAGGAAACTTTCATAATCGAAAACTTTTTTTAACATCTTTGCTTCTCTTTAATCATGTGAATGTTTAAACTTATGCATGTGACTCAATAGGCTCCTAGATATGTTGACAATGTATTAAGAATAAAAGATGTCTCTTTTATCTCTTGATACATAAGTCAAGATTAGCCTCTAACAAGGTATCATAATTACCCAATTCTCTAGGAGGCTTAATTAATCCATAATTGCATTTCATGAGCATGGTTACCATACAATTCAGTCCTCATATCAACTTATCACAAGTGTGATCTCAAACTTGGTTATTAGTGTTGTTTGATTATGATCACATAAGTTTTCTTTAATTCCTAAATATCTTAGCTCTTAGAGTAAACCAATTATACTCTATTAGTATACTTCTACTATGGCCATATATTTCTTGAGTTGACATTCATCGAAGTACAATGTGATAACTCCTTTAGTATAAAAGGAATGACATATCCTATCTTAGTCATTCAGCTACCTCTATTAGATTCTTAGTGTACCCAACAAATTATCCACATGTAACTCCTTACCGGGTTTATCAAAACGAGTGTCAAAGTACATAAATTCTTCAATGAGATAACCGTGATGACCTCAAATCTAAGGACTAATTGTATTTATCTTATATTAGATTCTCATAGACTAAACCAAAAGGGTTCTTATGATGAGTCAAGTCTAGTGATGTGGTTTCTAACATAAATCACCTAAGCGTTTGCTTTGGCATCATCATGCAAAAAAGTATAAGATCTCCTACTATTATTATATAATATGAGCATAACACTCACAAGTCTAACTGCATATAGTTAATATCCATTCTTAACCATGCTATAACTTGGGACATTTAACGATATCATTTATGTACTTTAGTGTTTGTCTCACATCTTTCGATCAATCATTAATGTAAATGCATATCATATGAACTTCTATCTAATTCTAATCAATGAATAAATATAAATGACAAGAATTAATAGAAAGACTTCTTTTATTATAAATAATATAATAATATAATAAATCAAACTCATCCAAATAAGATTGGATTTGGACACCTACACTAACGAGTCTTACGTGTAAAAAAGATAATGATTTTTTCGTTGAGAGAATTTATTGATGCAGATTGGGTAGGTGATGTAATTGATCACCATTCAACTTCGGGGTATTGTTTTAGCATGGGTTTAGTTGATGTTTCATGGTGCGAGTAAGAAGCAATCCGCAATTGTATTATTTAGCATCGAAGCCTAATACATGACGACAATAATTGCTGCACAAGAATGTATTTGGTTGAAGTGTTTGATAGGAGATATTTTTCTAAAGTTAATTATGCAATGTAGATTCATGGTGACAATGAGAGGGCCACCAAACTTGCTTCAAATCCATTATTTCATGGAAGAACAAAACATATTGAAGTTCATCATTATTTCGTTCGAGAGAAGGCGCTAAATCAAGAAATTGAGTTGAAAGGAATTCACACCAATGCTCGAATCGCATATATATTCACAAAAGCTTTGGCCAAGGCTAAAGTTAAAAGTTTTAGAGCCGATCTTAGAGTCATTAATTGTAAGTATGCACTAATGGGGAGTCTTGTAAATTCATACATCTTACTATGTGAGTTTACTCGTTTACTAAGTCAACTTTCTATTCCTATTATTTTTGGAGTAGACTAAGTCGGTAGTGAAATGTCAATAAAAAAGCATTTTGCTCCGTTCTATTAGGATGTTCCGGTAGGATTTTATACAAGTTTTTTATGATGATTTGTTACAACTTGAGCTATAAATTCATTAACCGATGTAATATTTTATATGCTTCAATAAAATATTCTAAAATTCTCTAAATATTACTTTTCTCCTTTAACAATTTCCTAGGAATTTTTTTGTTTTAGAAAATATGTGTAAAGAGAGAATATTGATAGTTTTGCTTATTTCTAGGGCCTAAAATTAGGCCAAGGATCGAGACATGCAATTAACCATGTTAATCGTGTTCTCTTACAAACACGACAATTTTCGTTACTATTTTATTGTATTCATATATAAACAACCGATAAATATTGTTAATTTGTAGAATTTCTCAATTAGGCTTGTGAGTATATTTATACAAGGTACTACTAATTGTGCGTTTGGTTTAGTCTATATGTCTTATACTATTTGATAGTCTTGTTGGGGTTTTGCTATATTGTAGTAGCAGTTTTAATTGAGGATGAGCTTATTTAGACTTGGGGTCTTAATTTCTCATAATTAATATACACGATATTGTGCTTGTAATAATGTATTCTCACTATTAATTGCTTTTGTTACATGTAATCAAGGAAGCATCTTTGATATCCGTATCTCCCTTTATAAATTTTTGTTACTTGCCTTGCCTTGCAAGTCCAATCTACCATTAGTCTAGCAGATTATACTCCAATTTAGTTCTCTTCCACCTAGCTCCATCTCAATAGGGAAAGGAAAGATTGTTTATTGGATGATTTTATATTATGTTTTATTCAATTTACATAGGCAAGTTTTAAATGGGTTAACTATGTTATGCTTTAATTCAATTAACTTAGTCCAGGAGCTGTTTTTTTTTCTTTTTTTTTTAAATCATGAGATATTGTTTGTTAAAAACCAATATTACACAATGGATTGATAATTTAATTTGTTTATTTTGATGTAATTTTTAGAAATATGAATTTTATTGCAATAAAGGTTTTTGCAAGTTTGAAGGGATAAATTTTTTTCTATTAAGTAATGGATGATTAAAAAGTAAAGTTTTGATGTTCTAATATTTACACTTAAGTTGACAAAATGACCTACTTTTTTCTCGTAAGTTAAAACTCTTGTAATACTCAAATCATTTAACATGAAAAAAAAAAAAAAGTAACAACTGATGCTTGAAAGAAGCAAAGCTTTTTTTTAAAAAAAACATTTAAGAAAAGCAAAAATATAAATATGTTTGATAAGAAATAACTTTTAACTTTAGTAAAAGGTTTTTTTTTTTAATCGACCATATAAATATTTTTTGATCAATTGAGGTTAATTTTTTTTTTTTTTACAATCTTAAAAGCACATTTTTTATATTAATATGATGTGAGCATTCACAAGAATTTAATAAAAGATAGTTACATAATTACATCAAAAGTTTCTTTAATAAAAACTATATATTTTTAATTTTAACATATGAATTCTCTTTTTTTAAAAAAATTAGTTTAAGTTAATTTTTGCTAAACATGTACAAACTTAGATTATTCTCTTTTTTTTAAAATAACTTTCGAATGAAAATCAAAAATTATTTTTTACCAATCTCGACAAACTAACTCTAAATTCACCTATAATTACGATGAAAAACTTCAATTTTTGCCAAATTTAATTTTAGACCACTTTAAATAAATTTAAAAAACGGCAAACAAACTCTTAAAACTACCTAATTTCCACCTACATAATGCTATCAAGTTCGATATTTAACAAAAACTTAGAGATGCTTAAATGACCTTTTTGAATATTATTTTAAATTATCCAAAATTGAAAAGATAAACCGTATTTAAGAAAGAAAAAGAAATCTGCTTTGTTGCTACCATCATCCATGTAGACAAAAGCTGTCATTCAGAGCCCAAGTAGCATCCCTCATATACAGCAGAAACCTCTCTCTCTCTCTCTCTCTCTCTCTCTCTCTCACTAACTCACCTTTGCTACCCATATAAATGGAGGGCAATACAGCACCCTCTGGCAAAGTGGTCTCTGTGGCTGCTGGTGAAGCTCACACCCTTGTTCTCACAGGTAATCTATGTATATTTTTGCAAGTCCATGTCTTTATTGGTTTCTGGGATAGTGAAAAATGTGATTTTGATTTGTGGGGTGATCTAATTGTAGGAGATGGGTTTGTGTATTCATGGGGTAGAGGAATGTTTGGGCGACTTGGGACTGGTTCAGAAGTGGATGAGCTTTTTCCGGTAAAACTAAAGTTTGAAACTTGTGAAGAAAAAATAATCAAGTTTGTAGGGGTTGCTGCTGGAGCTTATCATAGTCTTGCTCTTGCAGGTTGGCTTTGTTAACTCTATTGATTTTTTATTCTTGATTTGTATTGGCTTTTTTTGTTTTGAGATATAAGACTGTAGTGTGATGCTTTGTGGGGTTTGGCTATATTTGAGTGAGAATTGAAATGCGATTTTTTATAAATTGATTGTTTATGAAGAATCAGCTGTGGTATTGTAGACATTTGATTGTGTAGAATTCGGAGAACATTTTATCTGATTTTTAAATAGCATGAAATAGAATATAAATTGTAGTTCAAGAACTTTCTGCATGGTTCTCTTGACATTAGTATGCCACATGTCAAAATTATGTCCATGACACTATGGCAGGGCTTATGCTATAAGCTTTTCGTTAGTGATTGTATAGTGTCTTACTTTTTTCCATAGGTTTTGTGCATTTTTGGTTTTTATGGAACCAAGTGAAGTTCCTAATACTTTGAGGATGCTTGTGGTTCTATGAATGATGCACTTTTTCCTTTCTTTCGGTGTGTCTTACAGAAAACCTTCTGAACGATTAAATTTCAGTGGCTTTCTTGTTGTATATGATTATTCTTTCCTTTCTATGATGCGAATGCTAAATTTAGTGACCTGTTACAAGCAAACAGTTTACCATTTGGTTTGGATTCTGGTTGGATTGAGGTAGGGATTTGCACTAGTGCAGGAGGCAAGTGGGTTAATTCTATGGTTTCTAGTTTGATCAGACTGATCTATTTATAGCTTTTGCACCAACCAAGTAGTGCCCAAAGAAATGAGGCAGGTAGATCAAAGTCTTGCCAATTTTAAATTATGTGCTTAAAGGATCACTTCATTTCGACCATATTCCAGGAGTATATACTATATGGAGTGATTTCTCTACTGCTTAAACATGAATAGATTACCAAAAATTAGCACATATCTTTTAGAAACTGTCAATTTATGGTAGTTAAATATACTGTTTACATTTACTTATAAGCAATTTCTTTCTCTTTAATATCTCTATCAAGGTTACTTTTAAGCACCATGCTTTTGTTTTAGATTCCTTTTGCTTATCTCAATTCAACTCAAATATTTATTGTTTATATTGTTAATTAGCTATAGGATCATGTAACTGCTGGGTGCATGTTTGGGGTTAACTATAGGCTAAGGCTACATTTTGATTGACAAACAATTGTATGTTTTTGAAGTAAAGAGAAGTATCAGCTGCTCTGATACTTTGCTGTCTATGTAATGGCAGATAATGGATCAGTCTGGTGTTGGGGCTACAACATCTGTATCCTTTCCGGCTAGTGTCCTTCAGTGTTAAATGCACTTTTGTTAACTTAGTGCTTGCTAAGGCACATGCATTTTTCTTGCAACCTTGACAGTCATATGGATGGCCAACTGGGTGTGAGTGGAGAGAATTATTCAATGCCACACTTGATGGAGCAGTTCCTTGAGTTGGGCTCTCCAGTTTCATTGATAGATCAGTCAGAATCAAAGAGTAAAGGACCACTAAAGGTATGGAATTGTTTGTATCACTATTTTGCATGTTAAAATTCTTATTTGTAATTTTATTAGTGTCTCTACTGCAGATTTGCTCTATCAAAGCTGGAGGAATGATGTCTCTGGCAATTGATGATCATGGAGCCCTTTGGATGTGGGGCTATTGCCCTCAGCGAAGCAACATAAATGAAAGTAGCTTATCATTTGAGAGTAGTTTCACCCCAATTCCTGTTCGTGATTTCCATGGCCACACTGTTGTGAAGGTGGCATGTGGAAGTGAACATGTTGTAGCCCTGGTTAGTGCTGGAGAAACATATAAAGGTGAGGATCTAGTATGCTACTCTTGGGGTAGTAATAGCCATGGCCAGTTGGGTCTGGGAGATAGAGAGAGCAGAGTCCATCCTGAGATTGTTGAAATGTTTAACCAGGACTCTTCTTGGGATGTTTATGAGGTAGTATGTGGAGCATATCACACAGCTTTACTCTCTCGTAAAAAGAGACCAAATGACACATTTGAAAGTGTGTGTTGGACATTTGGCCTTGGGGATAATGGGCAGCTTGGGCATGGAACTACCCAAAGCGTGCTAAAACCTGAGCCTGTAAAAGAATTGCCACAAGTCTGCCTGATCTCTGTTGACTGTGGTTTATTTCACACTAGTGTTGTTTCATCAGTGGGAGATGTTTGGTCATGGGGAATGGAAAAGGGTCTTGGCCTATGCCCAGATGCTAGTTTTACCGGAACAGATGCTGGGGATGCTTCTTCTCCCCGACTGATGTCAGGCTATGGAGTGGATGGGCCTATATTTCGCAATCCAATTCAAGTTGCTTGTGGCGCTGCCCACACTGTCCTTGTTGCTAATGATGGGTATAAGCTTTGGTCTTGGGGCAGAGGCAGAAGTGGTGTCCTTGGAAATGGTAAGACGATGGATTGTTTCACTCCCAGTGCTGTATTATGGCCTCCACTAACAGAGGATTTCAAGCAACCAGAATCGAACACTGTTAGTGAGGAGAATAATGGTTCCAAAGGAGTTGAAGAAACAAACAAAAGGTTGTCTTTGGCAATGGAAGAGATAAAGCTCCTCCAGTCAAAACTTTCTATAATGGAACAATATGCTGGCGTGCTTCATGGATTGGTTTTTGGCAGACCTTTCACTTACCAAGATGTCCCAATCTCATTGCAGAACTCGGGTAATTTTGACATCGCAAAAGAATGGGAGAGCATATTAGAATCGGCAGATCACAGTAAGCTTGTTAGATTGGAATTGTTCTACCGAGACTTGCGGGCAAGTGTCAAAGACAAGATAATGAAGAGAAGAATTCAGGAGATAGTAAAGGAGTGTCTGCCTTCTTCAAGTACAGCAAAGTAGCCCTGTAAAAATGTGATGCTTTTCATTAAGAATTGAAGATCAAACATGCATGGTAGTTGGTCAGCTACACGATTTTGATAGGTATGTGTTATTGAGTCCAATGTTTTTCCTTACACACTCCTTCAAAATGGTAAGAGATTCTATAGTTGATATCTGAGATAGAGGGTAGGTTGATGGCTGGAAAAAGTTTAAAATCCCATTGCTATAATACTTTGAATTTATAGAACAAATAGCCTACAATATATATATATTCACTTTTTAGACAGATTTCGAAACCTTTGTGATTCAGACTGCAAATTTCTTACAAATCCATATCTTTCGTATTTACAATAAGTGTCATATTTCATTTTATCATTCTAACGACTGTTTAGGTTAATTGTGGATTTAATGTGATTTAATTTTTTTATTTTTTCCTACTTGCTCTGAAGTTAAATTAGGGTTGTCTTAGTATTCTGCATTGTTTGCCTACCATCTTTCGGAACTTTTTAACAAAAAAATTCAGACTTCGGATATTTTCTCAACAGCCTTCTCTCTATCCATCCTTTAAGGTTTAGCCAGATTAATTGGTAAGTAGATTTGTTCCTTATAATAAGGCTCATACGGATCTCGCTATATCAAGATTTATTCTGCCATAATATATATATATATATAATGCAATAAAAAGATTTACAAGTAAATGATTAATTAAACTTAAAATTTACACATATTTACTCGTCGTTTTCTTGAGTAAATAAATTCTAGCAATTAAAAATCGAGGGTGTTGAAGAGAAATTTTTAAAGAGAAGGAGCGAGACACATATTTGTAAGCAATGTAGGAAAAGGAAGGAAAGAATGCAAATCATGGAACCAAATAATTATATAAAAAAAAAAAAATTGAAATAGTAGAAAGATCGAGATTACAACTCCAAGTGGAACTAATACTTAACAAGCTCTTTCAACTGATCTTTTTGTATCCGTGATTTTTATTTAAAAACAGCATGTCTATTAAAAGCTGCAGTCAGTTTTGGGAAAGAGAGGGCTGAAGAACGTGGTCTACTTGGAGAGGACAAGAAGAATGAGACGCTTAAGTTCATCAAAGAAAAGAAAGAAATAGAAGAGGAAGACGTAGAGAAAAAGATGAGTGATGATACTTGCTTGTGTTTCAAAATCTAGGGCTGAGATGTTCAGGGAGCAATGCTTCCACAAATTTTATAAGAGGATCTTAACAATTGCCTTGTGTCTTTAGCTTTTGTAGTGATACCTGAACTAGGTTGAGTCGCTAACACACAGCAAAGCCCTACACATTCATCTTGAAATGCATGTAGAATTCGTAATACAGAGCAAAGTTGGTAAAGAAAAAATTCACTGATGAGAACAAGAAGGAACGCCAGTTTTTTTATCCAACACAAGATTTTGGTAAGAACAGAGTAGAGAGAGCTCATGAATAAACAAACTCCTTGTTGAAATAAAACAGAAGTTAGGGAGAGGAGAAGCAACAACATTAAAACAAACCAAACCGCTCTAGGTCGACAAACCACAAACCACTCACATTGCACTCTCAACATTAAAAGAGACGAAGCCCTCAACAAGCTACAAATTACCGCTCACTGTAGCATAGACCAATTAAAAAATTATATATACAAACAAGCACTCGTTCTCTTAATATTCAATTATTCGAACTCTTTAAATAACCGTACACGGTTGCAAGTAAGCACTCAGTTCCTCTCCCTTCGGATGGTTATCCCTCTTTCTCCACCTAACCATCTCGTTTCGTTGCTAAATTGCTTCATATTATATATAAATTTAGAAGAAGAAAAGATACAATTTGAATAAACACAACAAATTTTTTTTTTAAGAAACTCACTTAACCTGTGTACTCATCGTTGAACAAATATAAAAGGATTTATGACAAAAAAATTTTTTTTTTTGAAATAAAGAAATATTAAATTAAATGTGATGGTTAATGGATGAGAAATTTTATAATAATGAAGGAGTAACTAGTGACATGTATAGTAATTACTTTATGATTCTCTTTGAAAAGAGAGATAGACACAAAAAATGAGAGAAAATTACATTCAAACCTACCAAAAGTGATAAGAATATTTACACGTTTGTTCAATTTTTTTTTAATTTTCTCTCTTTTGTTTCTCTCGTCTTTTTTTTTTTTTTGTATATCTCTCTCTTTAAAGTGGATCCATAGAGTAACTAATGTATATACCGCTAATTACTCTTTGATAATTATAAAGTTTCTCGTTAATGAACTAAATAATTAGTTTTTAAAAGAAGAAGGATTAGTTAATTTGTTTTACAAAAATAAAAGAATTAATTTATAATTTACTCAACCGTGGGATACGTAAATATTACCGATCAATCATGACCAATGCAATTTCACCACGTGTCCACTTCAACTATCAAGATTGGAAACTAATGTGCAAATTGAAAAGCAAAGAGATCGACGATTGTTACATATAAAATGAAAGTGTTTTTTTAATTTTTTCTCTTCTATGTCTCCGTCTTTTTTTTTTTTTTTTTTTGTATATCTCTCTCTTTAAAGTGGATCCATAAAGTAACTAATGTATATACCACTAGTTACTCTTTGATAATTATAAAGTTTCTCGTTAATGAACTAAATAATTAGTTTTTAAAAGAAGAAGGATTAGTTAATTTGTTTTACAAAAATAAAAGAATTAATTTATAATTTACTCAACTGTGGGGTACATAAATATTACCGATCAATCATGACCAATGCAATTTCACCACGTGTCCACTTCGACTATCAAGATTGGAAACTAATGTGCAAATTGGAAAGCAAAGAGATCGACGATTGTTACATGTAAAATGAAAGTGTTTTTTTAATTTTTTCTCTTCGTGTCTCTGTCTTTTTTTTTTTTTTTTTTTTTTTTTGTATATCTCTCTCTTTAAAGTGGATCCATAGAGTAACTAATGTATATACCACTAGTTACTCTTTGATAATTATAACGTTTCTCATTAATGAACTAAATAATTAGTTTTTAAAAGAAGAAGGATTAGTTAATTTGTTTTACAAAAATAAAAGAATTAATTTATAATTTACTCAACCGTGGGATACGTAAATATTACCGATCAATCATGACCAATGCAATTTCACCACGTGTCCACTTCAACTATCAAGATTGGAAACTAATGTGCAAATTGGAAAGCAAAGAGATCGACGATTGTTACATATAAAATGAAAGTGTTTTTTTAATTTTTTCTCTTACGTGTCTTTGTCTTTTTTTTTTTTTTTGTATATCTCTCTCTTCAAAATGGATCCATAAAGCAACTACCGTATATACCGCTAGTTACTCTTTAATAATTATAAAGTTTCTCGTTAATGAACTAAATAATTAGTTTTTAAAAGAAGAAGGATTAGTTAATTTGTTTTACAAAAATAAAAGAATTAATTTATAATTTACTCAACCGTGGAATACGTAAATATTACCGATCAATCATGACCAATGTAATTTCACCACGTGTCCACTTCGACTATCAAGATTGGAAACTAATGTGCAAATTGGAAAGCAAAGAGATCGACGATTATTACATATAAAATGAAAGTGTTTTTTTAATTTTCTCTCTTCGTGTCTCTCGTTTTTTTTTTTTGTATATATCTCTCTTCAAAATGGATCCATAAAGTAACTACCGTATATACTATTAGTTACTCTTTGAATATTATAAAATTTCTCGTTAATGAACTAAATAATTAGTTTCTAAAAGAAGAAGGATTAGTTAATTTGTTTTACAAAAATTAAAGAATTAATTTATAATTTACTCAATTGTGGGATATGTAAATATTACCGATTAATCATGACCAATGCAATTTCACCATATGTCCACTTCGACTATCAAGATTGGAAATCGACGTGTCGTTAAAAAATAGCAATATAAAGTATATTGTAAACTATATTTTTTTTATTTTTAAAAACTAATTAATTATAAAGATCTTAGTGAGATAGTATGAAATTTCAAAAACCATCCATAAGTTTGAAGATTCAATAAAAACTTCATTTTACACTCAAAATGTTCTTACTTACTATTTCAAAAAAAACATAGTTACATCAAAGAAATATTAATATATTAGAAAAAGAATATTAGAAAAGTAAAACCGAAATTGATAAAAATTACATAGTGAATTTAATATTTTTCATCTAATATAACAATAATCATGCACATCAATTTACATTAGTTATTTAATTATTTAAGTATTTTAATTAATTTATTTTCTTTCGATAGCAATAAAAGGTATTTCGGGTATAAAAGTAGGTTTCGTAATATTTTTTTATACATGGAAGATTTTGTCTTTATCATATCTTCATATTTTTGGATGGTTTATGTAATTTTATGATACCTCAAAATATTATTGTAATATACCTTATTTAATTTTTATAAACTATAAGGAGTAAGTTACAATCAACTAGAAGGAAAAATGCTTTAATTGAAATTTGAAAAAAATAAATCTCAATTTTGCTCTTAATTTATATATTGGGTTTTATCTTATAGTTGGACTATATATTCTTCACTTTTTTTTTTTTTTTGAGTAAGATCTCTTTTCTTTTTTTTTTTTTTTTTTTTTTTGACTTGATTGAGCATTCTACTATTTAAGATTTCTTGATTCGGATGTTTTATTATAACATCATTAATCGATAATCGGTGTAAAACATTTTGAAGATTAGAGGTAGCGTGTTGATTACGGATTGATAACGTTATAATTGAAGGTTTGAAATAAGAAATCTCAAAGAATAAAGGATCTCAATAAAAATAAAATAAAAAATAACAATAAAAATATATAAAAAGTATAGTTTCTCAATTAAAAAAAAGACCCTTTTTATATATTTATTCTCAATTAGGTCATAGATCCATAAAACTTATCAATGCGGTCCTAAATGCTTGAAAATATTCTTAAGAAGACCTTCTTGTAACGTTAATTAACTTTTTTTTGTCAAATTATATTAGGAAAGGGGTTGTTTTATGATGTATATTAGACGCTAGAATATTAACAAAAAATCATGAAAGGATATTATTGAGAAATGGTGAAAATGTTTGATAAAAATTTATAGGTTTTCGTTCCCATTTATAACGAACATACTATTTTTTTACTCACGTAATGCTACTGGATCGAACGGAACACATAAAATTATTTTAATTTGATGTTTTCGTGTTATATTGTGCATATATCAAAAATATTTTAAATCAAAACTGAATAAAAATTCATTTAATTTTATAATTTTTAATCAAAATTTTGTATTTGATCGATTATTCTTTATATTTTTCATTTTTTTTAATTAAAGACACTATTTATTTATCTCTATCTATAAATTAACAAATTTATAATAATATAAAAAATGTCAAAATCAATGAATTTTTAGCTAAAATCTTATTTTATAAAATTTTTTTCCTAAACATTTTTTCCTTTAAAATTTTTAATTAAAAAGAAAAAAAGGATCAAAGTGACTAAAATGAAAAAAATAAAAACCAAATTTAAATAAAAATAATATTTACAAAGTAAAAAATAATATTTTATGAAAAGAGATCAGATATATTGTGAAGAAAAATAATAAATATTTTTAAATTATAAAAACTATAAAAATATTAATGTATAGTACGTCCTTAAGTCCGGATGAATGGCACGAATGGATAATTTTTTTTTTTTTTGGATGAATAGTCTGAATGAATAATTTTTAGTAAGAAAGACACGGGTAGAGTAGGAGAAATTTTATAATACACGAGAAGTAACTAATGACATGTACAATAGTTACTCTTTAAGCTCACTTTGAGGAGAGAGATAGATACATAAAAAAGAGACAGAAAATAAAAAAATTTAAACGGACGTGAAAATCTTCTTTATCACTTTTGATAAGTATAGATGTAATTTCTCTTTTTTATGTGTCTATTTTTTTCTTAAATTGAACTCAAAGAATAATTATTATAAATGCCACTCTACTACTTCCAAATTATAAAATTTTCCGGTTGAGTTTAAAACGCTGCCATTTTTATAATACGTGAAAGCCATCGAAATTCGAAACGGTCAATTAACAGTGTCGTTGTCTCTCAGTCTCTCAGTCTCTCAGTCCTCCTCTCTAAACCTCTCCAGAACCCTAGACCGTTACTTCTCCAAAAGAAACCTCCTCCGTCAAAATGCCTGGGGTCGCAGCGGACTCTGCCACTTCCGATATCGGTGGCGCGTTAGTCCCATTCGTTCCAGACACGGAAATCGCCGTGGTTTACCCTCTTCACCACGGCCTAAAACCTCCAATCTCTCGCGTCTCAATCTCCTGGGCCCGAGGAAACAATCTACGCGTCTCATTACTCCGTAAACCGCCTTCCGATTCTGACTCCGACGGAGAAATTGGAGGAAAAGTTGTGGAGGTGAATCTCGGCAGCGGAGCCACCGATGTCAGCGACCCTGCACAGTGGCGGCGCATTGCCTACGGCTCCGTTACGCCTTTTGCGCTCCTTCAAAGTCGCAAGAATGCAGCTTCGAGCTTGTCTAAATTTCAATCAAGTTCTTCTCCGTATCACCTTGACTGGCAAGTTTGGAACCTTTTCTTCTCTTATATTGTTGTGTTCAAAGTATTTGTATTTATTTATTGATATATTTTTATTAAAAAATCTGATCACTTATTTTCTTTAGGTGGGAGTATGTAATGGAGTATAGCAAGGACATAAATGCCCTACTTGGGAATCCAAAGTCAAATGATAGTCCTTTAATTGAAGACCCTAAAGAAGTTTTAAAGGTTAATTTTCTTTGGCTCAATTGGGTTTTTTGGTAGCTTAAAGTCAGTGATTGATTGTTTAATTAAGTGAATCATTTTGTGTAGAAAGGTGACGAACCAACTAGTTTAAAGGCAGCATGGGAGTTGATGGAGATGTTTTATGCAGACAAATTATGTCAGAGTTGGTTACCGGAACGCCTTGTCGATTGGTTGGCTGTAATGATCATTGATGCTTTCTGTTTTATGTCTGTTTTATGTGATGTTTTGGGTTTTGTGTTTGATTGTACCCTTTTGTTAATTCTGCTGTTCTTATTGTTGCTGTTCTTGCCAGGATTATGATAGTCTGTTATCTGGTGATCAGTTGACTGTTCATTTGAAACTTGTGGAGTTTCAAGGGAAACTAGTTACCTTACAGGTTTGACTATGATCTAAATTTATTTTTTCTAAGTCTTATTTAATGGGAAAATGTTTTTCTTTGCTTAGCTAATTTCGTGATAAGCTTCCTAGCATAACTGGTAAATGGATTGTTGGTTTCTATATGCGTTGAAATTGATTTTGCAATGTAATGAATTGAAAAGGTGGCAAGTTATATTGCTAAATGTAATCCTGTTAGTATATATACTTTTCTCTGTATTGGATTGTCCGTGAATGGAGTTTTAGTATATTTCTGTCTACTATCTATGGGAATGCTGGGTGTTTGACAAGCCTTTCCAGTTTAAAATGTTGACATGATATGAAATTCGGTTGGACATAGTCAGATTAATCGATCTCAGATTGGTCTTTTGTCCAATAACTTATTTGACATATATTGTGTGCAGCATCAAGATCTTTTTGAACTCTCACCTTTTGCTCTCATGAACATGGGATCTTATATGATTGCTTTATGCAGGTCATTGAAGATGATCCTGAATATTGGGAGTTTTAGTATATTTCTGTCTACTATCTATGGGAATGCTGGGTGTTTGACAAGCCTTTCCAGTTTAAAATGTTGACATGATATGAAATTCGGTTGGACATAGTCAGATTAATCAATCTCAGATTGGTCTTTTGTCCAATAACTTATTTGACATATGTTGTGTGCAGGGTCAAGATCTTTTTGAACTCTCACCTTTTGCTCTCATGAACATGGGATCTTATATGATTGCTTTATGCAGGTCATTGAAGATGATCCTGAATATTGGGAGGTGATATCGTCTGCACTAGCTGTTGGTTGGCTAGAGATTGTGGTAAAGTGGTCTTGGGTGCAGTCTTTCCTGTAGTATGTTGAGTGGTGTAGTGCATCTTATGGTGATGAAAAGATGACGAATGTTTTATTGCAGAACTTAATGTTTTTCTCTTGCAGGCGAAGCTTTTGCGCTTGCATGGATCTTATCAACTGGATCAGCTTGGCCATAGAGAGGTTGGTAAGAATTTAATGATGATTGATTGATTGAATATGTACATACCAGTTGAAAATTATCCTTAAACTTCTTTTTCTGCAACCATTTTATGCCCTTTAAATTGTCATCTTGTGAAGGATGCTATTATTGGTGTGACTGTTTTTTGCTTGTCTGGCCAAGTATTGGTTGGTCTGTAAATTTCAATTGACATTAAAAGCTTAAAAGTTGTCCATTTGATATAAACCTCTTTGCTTCAGTGCCTCTTTATTTGGCATATGTGCAGTTCATGTCTGTTCAGAAACATGTAATAACCAGACATTTGATGATTGAGCTGACATGTTAGATTTTGAGGATGTACAATGTTTTATCTTGGAACTTTTTAACTAGCCAAAGTAGTTTGTGCTTTCACTTGTAGGTTGAATTTTGAACTTCTTGATTTATTGTGTGAATCTTTATCAAATGAACTTTCCATGGTGTTGATTTACTGTTCATCCTTGTGTCTGTTTTTGCAGTTGCTTTTTTTAAGTCTTGTTTGTTTTACAATTTATTGAGCAGACAGAGAATGGGCTAGTTGAGGCTGTAGCTGTTCTTATTTCAAAGATGCCACGCATGCGTCCAGAATTAGAAAAGGGAAAATTAGGTGAATGCTTTAAAGCCAAACCTGATTTTATGAAGGTACTTATGCATTTTGGGATCATACTTTATCTTCTTATATATATATATATATATATATATATATATATATATATATATATATATATATATATTGTTACTATGTTGCTCAATATCTTTTATTCCTAGGCATGGGAGAAATGGCGAGGACAAATAACCAAATTGGATTCCAGTGCATATTGGTTTCAGTGTGATCACCGTCAAACCAGGGAGGGATTGAAAAATCTGCTCCATATCATGCTGGGAAATATCAACGTTCTCTGCACTGCAACATCCCACTGGATAGAGCTGTATATATCTCACTTCCTATTCATAACGCCATTCACTGTTGTAAGTGCATATTTTACTATTCTTCAAGTTTAATGATTTTTTTAATGTTTTCCTGAGCTTAGGTATGTTCAACTTTGGATTATTAGTGTCTAAATTGTTTGCTGCTTATGATTTATGTCTACTTGCAAAACTGAGATTCCAATTAATCTTTTCTTGGTTCAGGGGTTTGAAAGCATGTACAACCTAGCTCAGAAATGCATTCAGATGAAACCAATGTCCACTCCACATAAGCTGCTGCATCTCATAATTGGAATTATTGGGGAAAATACTGAGGTGAGTTATGTGGACTGAAACTGCTAGCATGCGTTGTTCCATTGTTTTACTTCCTATTGTTCTTTTTTCCTATAAACTCATTGGGTTTTTTAAACTCCTGCAGGTTGTATTGGCAGAATGCTCAAGAGGGTTTGGTCCTTGGTGAGTTTTATTATTTTCTCTATGTCATCATGTTTGCTCAACCAAACAACCCTTTTTAAACCTTATTTTGGTGGTTTTTCAACAGGATGGTGGCTCATGCCATAGAGTTATTGGCTGCTGGGAATGACCAAGCAGATATTCTTTTACATGAGGAGCATGATAACATAGGGGGATCAGTATGGAGGAGCTCCATCGTCTTGTTTATGCTCAAGTTCTAACTTCTCACATTTTGACTTGCCAAGTAAGTGCAAACCTGCAAACTGCTTGAATCACAGTGTACTAATTAAATTAATTGCAATGATGGCAGATTATGTTAGAAGAATTACAATCAGTATAAGTAGTAGATATCGGTACATAATATTTCATACTTGAGATTCTTGAATCCAAGCTAACTTGTATAATGGAAATGGAATGTAAAATTTATTTGATATATTCAAAAGAGTAAGACATAAGGAGAAGTCTATGCAATTTAGTGTGCAATTGGAACTGGCCTCAAGAATAACTACTCACAAATTTGAATTACGATAGAAGAGGCGGAATCGTAACCAAACAATGCTGTAACGTTGCATCTAGCACTGGCTACCATGATGAAGCTTCAACACAATCTATTTGGATACAAAAGTAGACCTGACTTGTGTAGAAGACAAAGAAACTCAAATTTCCTTTCATTTATCCTTGTTCTAGGAGGCGTTTAACTTCAATTCACTTTCTATCACTTTTCATTGCATTTGAAAATTCAGTTCCTGTTTAGGAAGAATATTAAATTCTGTCCGTTCCAGGAGAGAGCCAACCCAACTAGTTTAAGATTCAGACTTTGTTGAGTACTCAAAATTTCTGGGTTGTGCACATTTCAAATTATTAGCTTCTTGAATATGAAGAGGTGTTTGGTGTTATCTATCTTTCTATTGCTCGGTATGTTTTTTATGCTCTCTATCTTTCTATTGCTGGGTATGTTTTTTATGCTCTGGTTTGTGTTAGTCCTTATTAGCTTCCCTTTCTGTATTTACTGTGGCAATAATTTACTCTTTCCTATTATTGTCAAGTATTTCTTGATTCAATACTTTTGTGCCCACAGATTGCTCCAGTTTACTTGATATCGTGTATGAGGCAAGGAATGAGTTTGCTGGAGATTTTACTGTACAGGCAGCCTGCCCAGCACAATCAATTGTTGCTTAAGGTAATTGATTCATCTTGAAATGGCATGCCTGTGGCCATTTTTTGGGTTGCAATATGTTGATTAAATCTTTGATTGATAGACATTTATCTGCCTTCTTGCAGAATTTAGAAATTTGCCGTCTGTATGAACTTGACAATGTCAGCTCAAACATTATGAAGGTATATGAAATCTTAAAATGCATCCTCTGTTTTATTTATGCATGAATACACCAAAATTTCTTGTATCATCGAACTGAGAGAATTTTCTGCCCGTGGCTCTTGTTTATCGTGAAACTTAAATACTTTGTCTTGTATTGCAAGGCTTTAGGTACATGGGCATTTATACTAACAAATTTTAGTAATTGTGTATAGATTGCTGGAGTGTACCACTGGAAGCATGGTAGGAAAGGTTCAGGAGTTTTCTGGCTTCAGCAAGCTCAGGATGAATTTCGTCTTAACAAGATTGCCCGGCAGTTGTTTGATTCTGTTGGAAAGTCGATCTCTGGTGAAAGCTTCAAGGTTGTTGTCAATGCAATCATTGATTTGATAAGCCAGGCAATGCTTAATTACTCGAACAGAAAAATATTAACCTTGGTAATTTTTTTCTTGTTCTTTGTCCATACAGCAATGGGAAGGTTTAATTGAATTGCTGGGTTCAGAATCAAAGCCTGCTGGGAGTCTTGAGTTTCTGCACAAGTATAAGTTTTCTCTAATTCAGCAGTGATTATCATCCACTCGTTTTCTCTTCTATTCCAATTTTTTCATTTTCAATCTTGATTCTAAATCTGGATGTGTCACAGGTATAGGGATTTCAAGAAATCGCTACAGCAGGTTTGGGATGGAAAAACTCCAGATGCTGCTCAGCATGCTGTAGAATATCTTATGTCGGTACGTGTAATGAACAAACTTTCTATCTTATTGACATGGCATCAACCAATACAATCTACAAATTCCCAAGACCTTGGAGCTTGTATTGTAGCGCACTTGTTGAAATATGCAGTGGTTGAACAAGCAGCATTAAGCTTTTAGTTTTCAAGACATGCCTTGCTCTCTAGGATCTGCTGCTTGGCAAAGTAAATTTTCTGAATAATATATATGTTGCAAGGTTTGATTTGTGATTAGTTTCTGCTGTGTGAATGTGCAGCTTATGAAAAACCCTTCTACACCTCAACGTTTCTGGCTGCCTCTTCTTTATGATTCTGTAAGCCATTTTTCCTTCTCTCTCTAACATCACATAGTATGTGAGATACCAAAAGTGCTGTGTATTGTAGAAGTTTATTCTGTATTCATGGATTAGAACTTCCATTATTTGCAACTGGCCTGCCTATTTTTTAATGTTATTCCCAGATCACATTTCTTTGCAAATTCTTGACATTGAGCATTCTACCCATATTTATTTTGTCTCGTCTTGTTAAGTTTGATATTTTATTTGAGATAAATTCACAATAGGTTTTTGTCTTACAAATAACTTCCATTATTTGCAACTGGCCTGCCTGTTTTTTAATGTTATTGCCAGATCACATTTCTTTGCAAATTCTTGACATTGAGCATTCTACCCATATTTATTTTGTCTCGTCTTGTTAAGTTCGATATTTTATTTGAGATAAATTCACAATAGGTTTTTGTCTTACAAAATGTTTGCCAGTGGTTACACATTTATTTACTTTGTACTAATGCATGAATAAACTAAATGTTGTGTTTAATATGCATGGTAATTAAGTATTCATGCATGCCAATCTAATTGCTAGTTGATGATTCTTTGTTGTAGTTGACACTGCTTAGCTGGCAAGGGCGACCTTTGTTAAATGTCTCTCAAACAAACCTTTTGTTGAATAAACTGCAAGAATTGTCCATGGCAAGTGTTCGTCCAGGCTTTGTTGCCAGTGACTTGCCAGCTGAGGCATTAAACTCTGTTAGGCTTGCTCTTGCCACAAATCTTGGGCGGGCCATATTAGAGGAACAATGATGCTTTGTTTTTGATGTTCTCGAAGCTGTTAATGCACTCCCTGGTGACCAAACATTCAAGCCACATGTTCACCATCATTTCAAAGAAATGTTGATGGTGAATTTGGAATTTGCTGCATGCTTGTACCTGTTTGTTTGAAGTTTCTGCACAGCCAATGTTTCACAAGAGAGACCCCTGCTCCGCTACTTGCTAGAAGTAATACTTTGAGGAGGCTGCACACATCGAATTTCACATCTTGTTAGTCTTGTTTGCCATTGTTGTATAATTACATCACCAATCTCTGGTTAGCAGAAAAGTACATGCCGTTACAAGGATTAGAGAATATGATCCATGTCTAAATTTTCACATTTCTGCCATTGAAGTTTTCGTCCCGGTTGCATCGATGATGGGCTATCGTGGAAAACTTTCTACCTTTTTTTGTATATTAGTGTATTTAAAGAAATGCAAATGACCTCAAGTTTAAACTTAGTGTTTTCTGTTACTACTAGAAGTATTCGATTCTGTTGTAGTTATCGTGTTCCTTCAGTCTCAGCATTTTACTGAGCTTCTGTGCATTTCCGTCTGAACATGTGTGGCTTCATGCTCAGCATTACCGCCGTCACTTTATCAAGTTAAAAAATTTCCGAACACTGAATTCGTACCTTATTTTAAGCGACTTTCGAGGCTTTCACTGCAGAAATTGAGCGGGGAGATCAAGGAAATGGGGCAGGTAATGTCGAGTTAAAGTTGACATATAGACGAGTACGATAGCTACAAATACAAAGGAAAGAATCACCATTTGAGAAAGAGAGGGAGAACCAACTGAAGTAGGGAAACAAATCAAGCAATCGAGAGAAGGCTGCCTTCGGGATAGAAGCTAATAGGAAAAAATACAAGCACTACGATCAACATAATGATGCTATACCAGGCCTGCACCATTTAACAAATAAATACATCTCACTAACATGGAATTTATCGAAGGAAAAAAAAAAAAAAAAACAAACAAAGAACCTCGTAAAGGTACAAAAATATGCAGGGGAGAATAGACAAAAAAGAAAAAAAATAGCAGGGCTGAAGAAATCTGGTGAGCTATGAATATAATCAAATAAATAATGCTGGATCTTCTACCACTTTGCTCAACAAGCAAGCTTAGCAATGGCAAGACTCTGCCCTATCAATCTTCTTCTCTCTGGAGTCTGGATTGCTGATCCTTGTAAAGAGTGACTGGAATTACCCCAGGCACTTTCAGTGTACTATACAAGTTTACTGGAACTTCCTATGGCAGTCCAGCTTATCCAAGCACGCCATAAGATTCACTTGGGTTGTCTTGGCCAAAGACAAGCAGAACCACAGGACTAGGCCTGCTTTGTTACCATGTACATCACTACAGTGTATTACAATTTCTTCGGCAAATTGTAAGTCTTCTTAAGAAACCTTGATGCTGCTTCGTCGTTTCGGTAACACAACATACGAAGAAGAGTGTTTGGGTCAGTAGGATTCCACTGTCCTGAAGTTGGGGGCAATGGAAGTTTAGACCTGGCATTAGAGCCATATGTCTCCAAGGTCAGGCGTCTGAAACGCTCAACGAGACTCTCTGTATCTGTTCGGAAAAGGGGAAGGATACTTCTGACTGTAGTTGAAAACTTATCTATCAACTCAGTAGGCAGGCCATCCCCATTGGCCCAAAATAGATCTTTAAGGGATTTGAAATCATCCTCTATTATCTGAGAGTCCTGACGTGTGAAAGCACGAGAAGGGCCTCCTGCAAGCAAAACGATCAGGAATCCATCAAAGGAGGCTCTCATGATGTCAGTAACAACACGTGTACGAACTCTTTCATGTATGGTGTTCGAAATGATGAGCAAATTCCGCTCAACCTCCTGAATAAAAGGTTCAATCCTAGAAGATGATGGCTCTCCAACATACAAACCATCCCACAAAACATGACTCAAGTCATGGAAAACGATTTTGTAAGCAACTGCCTCACTGAGTTGTTGAACTCCTTCTATACAAGCAGCTGGTGTCAGTTCAAACTTTCTTGCCAAACCATTTGAAAAATCTTCAGCATGAGCAGATTCTGAGTTCCTCAAATGGGTTATTATTCTCTTCTCTAAAACATCCAACTCTGATCGGATTCTATGCAAAGTGTTTATACGAACACAGACCTGGGGCACCCCAAAAGGATTATCCCCGTTCATTGTTGCAACCTGAGAATTCCTCTTTGGAGTGTTTGGCGACTTCTCTTTCTTCTTCCATGCAAACTTTGATTCTGTAGTACATCTGGTCAATGCTGGCATAGTTGGAACATATGTATTTCGTGATCCTACATGTCAGATTGAATGATTGCAGTTGTTAGAAACTTAAAACTGAAGCCATAGGCATATTATTTAAATTTTGCAAACATTTACCACAGCCAGATTTTGCCTTAGTTGCATAATACTGAAGGCATCTGTCAAGACCGGCCATCAAGTCCGGTAGCAATGCAGGATGCATTGGTATTGGCAGCTGAAAATATGCATCCAAAGTTTCATCAATAATCCGCAAGACTTCAACAGCAGATGGAGCATAGCCATCTTGATTTGCCTGCGGATTCCAGACCTACACATTGCAGCAAGCTGGTCAACTCAAGATAAGGTAATAACAATGAAAAATGCATCAAGAAAAGAAAGGACAGTCAAGAATGTGACAGATACTGAGGATGAAATTCAACAGATGAGTGCATATGATAGCATGAATGGATAGGAAAATGCTGGCGAATCTATCTCAAATTTGCAGACTCTCATAAATTTCATAACAGAACTACATCAATGGCCAAACTGTCCAATCAAACACTATCTGATAGCACTATTGCCAACATTGAACTCTAGCCTCCCCGAGGTATGTCTCCTTCAGAGGTTAGCTCTTTTTCCAGGCCAAGATTGCAATAGCAAAGTGGATTTTACTTTCACGAAATCTTGTAACATTGTGACAGAGCCAATAGTAACCAAAACATGTCAATGTTGCTATATTAGATGCAAAATTCAATAGAATAAATCTGACAAATTGTGCAGTGGTGGATTTAATGATAGCAAAATCCAGACAGAAACACCAGTAACAAGTTAAAAATACAGGGCAAGTACCTCCTGTTGCAAATTCCTGTCGACCCATTCCTTAAGTCTGTCTAGTCTTGCTTTGATCCATGCTTTTACCAGATTGGCAATTGCAGCTTCAGCTTCATAAGGAGGCATTTCACGGATTATTGCCTTCCCGCCATCATCGCTGTCCACTGAATCTTCTACAGCAATCTGCACAAGATCTTTCTCCAGCTTATCTGCGGCTCTAAGCACTTGTACAGCATCTGGCGTTAATTCCACTATACCAGATATGAATTGTTTTATCTCATTTCCATAGCAAGCATGAAGTGTGGCCACAGCAACACCCGCTGAGAAAGGATGCCATCTTTTCAGTATTGGACTAAATACTTGCTTCTCGTTAACTGCCAAGTCACCAACATCCTTTGCAAGGATGGCAAGAACAGGAAGAGGATTCGGCTGGTTTTTGGATGCTCTCCGGCTTGAGTCTGCTTTCTCCATTCTCTGTTTTATGCCAAATCAAACAGAGTCATCTAAGCAGCCAAAAAAAAAAAAAAAACTCTCTCTCTCCCTCCCCACCCCCTCCCCCTACCAATGCAATTAGAAAGTTGATGGAAGCAGCTTGCCAAAGTAAAAAATTACTAGGGGCTGGGTTTTGTTTATGTGGTCACTCTTAATATGAGCTTGAACTGAGCTCATCACAGGTAGCACTAGGTTGACCTCTTTACAGCTATATTAACCCCATTTGAATACCATTGCTTATATACATCAAACGTGTAAGAAATACTGATCCACTCCTCTTGAAATAAATGGAAAATCTAAAGCCAGTTTTAGATTTGGTGGATGGTATAAGTTTGAATTTTTTTTTTTGGTGGATGGTATAAGTTTGAATTTTTTTTTCTTTAGAAAGGAAGCCTTTATTCCATTCTTTATATTTCTGTAGTCACACACCTAATGCTATTGATTAGGCATTGCAAAAAACGATGCAAATCTTCAAAGAAAAGTGATGTGACATGTGCCTCAATCCTTCATAATACTCTTAACTATTACAATGTGCAGACCAAGTACACAACACTTCAGCTTGTACTGCATCCTGAATCCCATTCCTATAGGTTCATGCAGCATAGAAATAGCAAGTGTTCTCATACTATAAATGAGAGCAAGGATATTGAGAATTATGGTTCTCAAGTCTATCAAACAGATTGCAGAGACTTACTTGAGCAAAGGCAGTGCGCAGTGATGATCTGATGTAAGTGTCAATTGTGGTACGAGCCACATCTACTTCAACTTTTCTCTTTCTTCGATACTCCTTAGATATATCCTCTGCCAAAATCTTGGCTGCCGACACCCCCAGAGAAACAATACCCTGCATCATCTCAACATTCCCACTGTCAAAAGTGTCATGATATGCAAGAAGCCTTTTCTCAGCCCATCCCAATATTGAACTCAATGTTGAACTCAAAATCTTGGAGTATTGTGGATCCTTTGTTGTCTTTGCATCTTTCGCAACTTCTGCTAGCTGACCATCAGCTGCATCAAGCAGATCTGTTTCTACTTGGCCAGTTGCAACGAAGCGGTGAAATAAAACCCATGTGAAGCAAAGATTGTGGAGCATTTGATTCATTCCAAGGACTGTCCATGTCTTCTTTATGTGTTCCATAAGTTCATCAATTTCGTCAATTACAGATGTTTCGTCGTTAACATCAAAGCAGGCTTGTAAAAGCATTTCATAGAGTCGAAGGTTCAACGGAATCCCATCAGCCCAGTGGCATATCTCTGAGAGAGACCCATCAGATCTATTAGCTAGAGACATAATAGCACTGCGAAGCACTTGCATGGACTCATTGTTCTTTCCAGTCTCTATAGGCCTATCCATAGCTCCATGAATAATTTGCCGCAGTCGCTGTGAAGTAGGATTTGACTTATCAAGTGGCACACGAGGATGCAAAA